AAAAAAAAAAAAAAAAAAAAACAAAGCAGCCCAATAACCCTCATCTCCACATGATAGGGAAAGTACAAGTCCACGTGCAGAGAGGAGGGACAGGGCTATGGGCAGTCCAGCACTCAGCAGGGGGAATACCCCACTTCTCTGACCAGGCCCATGCTGGGGAATGGCCTGCAGGAAGATCCTACCTTTTGGTAGCTGCTCTGGAGAGGGTTGGACCTTGTCAGCTTCCTCTGGCCGCTCCTCTCGGGCTCTCTCCTTGCTGACTGAGCTCTCATGCTTGTCCTCACCCTCTGCTCTGTCCAGGGCCTAGGGAGCCAGGAAGAAGCAGGTCCTGGGGCTCAGGAGGACTGGGGAGAACCAGGGCTGGGACCCTCCATCCAGGCTCCTGCTGCATGCTTCCAGCCTGCTGTGTCCACCCAGAGGCCCCATCTGGGAGCCCAGAAGCCTAGGTTCTACCTGGCTGTCCAAGGCCTGGGAAAGTCCCCAGACCCAACCTCCCCCCACACCCACCATGGGCCAGACCCCAGCAGCTCCCATACCTGGACTTCCAGCAGCTTCTTTGGCTTCTGCACCCCCAGCTCCTTCTCATCCATGTACCCCAGATGGGCTTCCATTTTGTCTGAAAGGCCAAAGGAAAGAGGTGAGACAGGTGGGCTCAGGCATGGAGGGGAAGGGCAGGGGAAGGGGCACCAGAAGGGAGAGGCAGCTGCATCAGAGCCAGGCACCTCTCAGAGGGACAGGCAGGATCCCAGGTGAGCCAGAGCCTAGTCCAGACCTACAACCCAGGATCCTGAAGGACTTTGGGCCCAGTGAGATCACAGTGGGTGAGGGGCTGTCAGGAGGGGGCTGCGCCCAGTAGCTGCCCATCAGGAAGTCAGAGGGGAGGTGGGTAAAGGCCCCCATGTAAGCCAGGACACCCAGGTGTGGTCCTGGCTTTCAGACGGCTAGCTGGCCCTGTGCCTTTGGACTGATCTGAGTCTTCTCCCCACCAAGTCAGCTCCCAACACTCTGCCAAGTGCCAGTTACCTGTGTGGCTCCAAGAAGCCTGGGAGGTGGACCCTATCCCATCCCCCTCACAGACTGGAAGACAGAGGCTCACGAGTTCCTTGACTTGCTCAAGGTCACGCCCAGAGCTCAGGGGAGACTTAGGAAGCAACCCAGGCGTGTGCCCTCCAAAGGGCACACTTGTGCAGAGGATCAGGGCGTCCTCAAGAGGGGCTGGGCCTCTTAGGACCTCACCTGTCACCTGGGGATGGGTATGTCTGCCCCAGAGACTGAACTGAGGGGAAGACACTTTGCCCAAACAAACAAATGGATCACCAGAAAGACACCTGGAAACAGATAACCCAATAAAAAGGAGAAAAGGACCTGAAAAGACCTTCTTCCGAGAAGACATACAGCCGGCCAATAAATGCAGGAAAACACACTGGACATCTTTAGCATCAGGGACACATAAACCAGAACCACAGGGAGAGGCCACATCACACTCACTAGGACGGCTGGAGACGGAAAGTCGGACAAGTACTGATGAAGAACCAAAGGAACTGGAACCCTCGTTACTGGCAGAAATGTAAAACGGCGCAGCCAGTTTAGAAAACAATCTGCTAGTTGCTCAAAAGGTTAAAAAGAATTGTCACATGATGCAGTGATTCTACTGCCAGGCACATACCCGAGAGAACAGAACACCTGTGTCCACACAACGCTCAGAACACAACTGCTCACAGCAGCCAAAAAGCAGGAGCAACCCTAATTCTATGATAAACAAAATGCAACGTCATTCAGCACGAGGAGGGATGGAGAACCGACACGTGTATGGTGTGGATGAACCCCGAACCGAGCTCAGCAAAGGAGGCCAAACACAAAACACGCAGATCGTAGGATTCCACTTATACAAAAAGCCCAGAGAGCACGGCTCCAGAGAGGGAGATGTGACCAGTTTGGGCCTGGACCTAGGGGAAGGGGGAGATAACTGCTCATGGATACAGGGTTTCTTTGGGAGAGATGACAATGCTCCAGCGTTAGCACTGACGGCAACACAAACCTGTGAATACTCTAGAGACCACTGAACACTGCACGTTAACAAAGAATGGATTTTGTAGCATGTATGTGAATTACATCTCAAAACTCTTGTTACAAAGAAAACTCCCCAGAAAACGACACTACAACAGACAGAAGTTTCGTGGGCAAGAGAGGCTATCTTTGTGGGGTGCACAGAGGACTTGGGGTCACTGTGGCCTTGTCACCTCCAGGCCCCAGGTGTTCCCCCCACCCCCACTCGCCTGGACCTCAGACCTGGCAGGCCCAGCGGGGCTGGTGGGAGGTGGGCGGGGCTGGCAGGCACTGGTGTGTTGGGGTCAGAGGAGATGACCTCGCCAGGCTTCTTGCCCTCAGGCCCCTCGGGGATCAGGTCTGGGGTGCTGTACTTCCCGTTGACGTGCTCAAACTCTTGAACCTGGGGCAGTGGGGTGAAGGAGAGAGGGCAGTGGTCACAGCTCAACCCTAAGAGCCTCAGGGAGCCGATGGGACTGGCTTGGGGTGTGGCGGGGGTGGTGCCTCAGGCTTGGGGTGGTTGATGCCTCAGCCCAAGGCTGGCCAAGCCAGACCCCTGCTGACCATAAGCTCCCTTGCCAGCCACTGCCTGTCTCCCTGTGTGTTCCCCACTCTGTTGTGACCGGCCATCCTGGCCTCCACCCCCCCAGCCCCTCACCCAGATAAGGCTGTCCAGGCTGGTCCCTCCAGCCTGGCTCAGACCCTAGGAAGCTGTGTGGCCAGAGTCAGGCGCTTGCCCTCTGAGTGCTGACCCCCCAGGGGCAGCACCAGGTCCCCAAGCAGCCACTAGGAAGGCCCTGCAGAGGGTTACTCACCCACCTTCTTCCTAACTAGTGACATGACCCCGATGCGGGTGAGCACGTGCTGCCTGGAGAGGCCCTCCCGGGGCACGCCGTCCGCGAAGGTCTCCGCGCCATCCGCCCCCGGCTCACACAGGTGCCGCATGAAGAGGGACACATAGGCTCTGGGGTAGGGGGGACTGGGGCTCAGGGAGTGGGGGGCCAGCAAGATCCCTCTGAGAGGGCTGGCAGGCCCCCCAGGGAAATCCTGGCTGGAATCATCAACCATCACCTATCTCCCAAGCAGGCCTGCTTGGCCACCAGACCTCAGAAAGGGCCAGCGGGGGCCATCCCAGCAGGGGACCTCCTAGGACAGCCCTCCCGTGGGTGGCCCAGATCTTCCTCACTGTTGTTAGTGCCAAACAGTGTGGGCAGAGGCACTGACCAGTGTTTCCCCAGCCTTGCTTGGAATTGGACCCCAGCCACTCAAAACCCAGTGGCAGTGACCTTTCCGGATGCCTTGAGCCTGGCAGGGAGCAGTGACACTGTGGGCTCACCCACCAGAGCCTGCCCTACCATGCCCAGGCAGGCACGCCCTGGGCCACCACCTCAACCCCTTTACCTAAACTCCTTCTCACTCTTCCCACGAAGGTCCCGCACCAGCCAATGGGAGTTGAAGGCGTCCTGGGGGGGCATGCCCCAGCGCATGATGGCATTCAGAAAGGCTTTCCGCTGCCGAGCATTGAAGCCCAACACCTGGGCAGGGAGAAGAGCAGGTGTCTGAGCCCAGATCAGAGACAGGCTAGGATCAGAGAATTTAGGGATGGAAGAAGAAGGGCATGGGAGGGGGCGTGGGGAAGGCAGGGTCTCCTGGGGCAGGACCCAGAGGGTAGAGATCAGACCAGGGTCTGTTTCCCCTCCCTCTAGACCCCTTCTCCATATCCCAGGGGCAGCAGGAAGGGGCTGAGGAGACGGGGGTACAGGCAGGCCTCACCTCGATGTTGCCCCCAACTCGAGCAAGAAGAGGAGGCAGGGGCTTATCTCTGTCGCTCTTCAGCTGCCTCCTGGACTGTCGCCGTCCACCTGGGGAGCAGCCCGCCACAGCTCCTCAGGTAGGGGCCTGGGGGTTCCTGAACCCCCTACCCCATATGTCAGCACCCTGGATGGCAGCTGACCCCACCCCCACCCCCCAGCAGCTCCCGACACACAGCCTCAGCAGCAGCCCAGGTCACCAACACTAAGACTCACTCTGCCCTTCCGGACGCTCCTCAAAGTCCTCATCCTCATCCTCAGAACCGATGGAATACTCAGACTGGTTATCGGAGAGCTCATCCTGCCACTCTGCAGGGGCCAGGAAGGGGGGCATGAAGTGAGCTGGGCAAGGCCCTGTGCCCAGTCCAATAATATCAATGACTACCAAGAACCAGGACCTTACGAACTCGACATCACAGAGCACTAAGGAATTACACTGCCATCACCCCTCTTTTCCTCTAGAAGACTTGCCCAAGGCCACGCCACCAGCAGTGATGTAGTCAGTACTCGAGCACCCACCTTGTTCCCCCAACTCCCTTCTCTCCCAGAAGCCTGCCCCGCCCACCTCCCTGCTCAGGCTGTCCACAGGGCACCTGCTGCCCAGCCCCACGCCTCGCCCAGGGGCTCCCTGCACAGCCCCCCAGCCCTGACACGCACCCTGGTCCTCCTGGGAGGCGTCATTGTAGTTGACCTGCTTGCGGATCCGCTTGCCCTTGCCCAGGTTCCGGGCCAGGTCCTCCTGCTGCTGCTCGTAGTGGTGCCGGAGCAGCTTCTCCCAGTAGTCGGGGTCCACATTCTCCTCCTGCTTGATGATCTCACGCTCCACCTCCTCCTGGGGACGCAGGCCGGGAGCAGGATGGCTCGGTGGGGGCAGGGGGTAGCCTGCCACCCTGCCTGACCCCTGCCCTCTCAGGCCGGAGGATCAATTGCATGACCTGCCTACACCAGGAAGCCCTCCCTGACCACCCTGCCCAGCAGGTCTTCCTCTCCCTGCCATCACCCTGCCTTCATTCACTCATCGGCTCATTCACTCACTCTAGGAGTATTCCCTGGCCTTGCTCCAAGCTGGGTACAGACTTGAATGAGCCCCAGCACCTGGACTCCCAGTTTCAAAGGGAGAAACTTCAAAAGGAGGGATGACAGACACAGGGGTCTGTGGGGAGGGTGGAGGAAGCTGAGGAGGCTGGGAAGGGCTACCAGGAGAACCAGGAGAAGCACTGTGGGTAACTGGGGTTTGCTGAGGAAGGGAGATGAGGCAATAGGCAAGTTCTGGAACTCGGAGAGCCCAGATACAGAGCAGAGGCAGGGGTGGGAGAGCCAGGATGCCAGGGAGGGGACAGCTAAAGATGTCCGCAACGGCAGTGGCCAGCCGCCCTGGGCCCTAAATACCACCTCTGTCCCTTCCCTCTCCCTTGCCCAAGTGTCTCTGGTGTGGGGAGCCCAGTGTTGGTTGAGGACAGAGATTAGGAGGTCAAGGCCGGGGTGGGTGGGCAGAGCTGGAGGGAAGAGCCTAAGCGAGGGCGGGGGTGTGGCTGGAGGGCACTTACCACACCGTCCTCCTCGCGCACCACATACTGCGCCACCTTGAAGGAACTCAGGTACTCATTCATGTTCTGCAGCTCCGTGTCATCTGTGGCATCCTGGTTCCTGTCCAGCAGCTTGGAGATGGCCGCATCGTCATAGTGTATCACACTGCTGTCCTCCACGTCCTTGTTGTCACCTGGGGCAGACAGGGTGCAGGATGGGTGCACAGACAAAAAGCCCCCACATCCAGCTGCGGGCGCACACAGGGACAGACTTCCCTCATGGCCCTTCCCAGTCCCCCCACAGGGTAACCAGACAGAGGAAAGTGCCCTGTAATGGCCCCACTCCTGCCTAGCCAGAAGTCCCAGGACACCCAAGAGAGGAGCCAAAGGAGGGTTGGACAAACCCCTGTCCAGCAGCAGACTGGACAGAGCAGGAGCCGGGGGCTGGGCTCAGGTGGGCCCCTACCTGGTGGGGTGCTCCCATGCTTCTTCTTTGCGCTGGCAGCCAGGGCACCCCCTTTGGAGGACTGGACATCAGGGATGGGTGTGGCAGGCCTCTGGCCCTGTGACATCATGCCTGCAGGGCACAGGGAGGCAGGGAGGGGTGTGGTGAAGGAGCTCTGAGGGGCACAAGGTGGGTAGGAAGCACCCACAGATGCCACCCTGGCCTGCCCTGACTAGTAGCAGAGGAGAGGAAGGCAGTGCGCAGAGGGGCTGGCGGGGCCCTGCAGGCTGTGGATGGGTGTGTCTCAAGCAGGGCTGCCCGTCCCCCCGCCATGCTTCCCGCCAACAGAGGCCCACCCTCTACATCATCCTTGAAGAGCTCCTCGGTGCCGAACTTGAGGATGTCATCCAGCTCCTGCTTGGTCATGGAGCCCGACTTGGAGCCCAGGCCGGGCCGCACCACGAGGTGCGTGAGCATCATCTTGCGCTTGGCCACCTGTGTAATGCGCTCCTCCACCGAGGCCCGCGTCACGAAGCGGTAGATCATCACCTTCTTGTTCTGCCCGATGCGGTGGGCGCGGCTGAAGGCCTGGGGAAACCTGCAGCTCAGCCCTGGGGCTGACTAAGGGCTCTGGGTATGGGGCAGGCACCATGTGGTGAAGGGCATGCAGGTAGAATGGGAGGAGGACCGTGCACAGAGGGCCGGCTGGGCACCAGGCTGGGGTCAGAGTGGAAATGTGCCTGGCAGGTGGAGCTAGGCAGGACTGGGACTGTGCAAGGGTGCGTGTGAGAGTCAATGAGGCCAGTGTGCTGGGTGTGACAGGAGCCACACAGGGCTCCAAGGGCAGGTCCTGGGGAGTTGGGGAGCTACAGCCCCCTGTGAGTAAGCCGGTAACGGGACAGCATGGCCATGAGTTGGAGACACACAGCGACCTTTTGAGGGTAGCAAGGCCCTAAAATTGCACTGTGTAACACAAGCACGTGCCTGAGACTCTGCGTCTCCACCTGATGTGACCCCAGTGTTAACTGTGTGAATGATTAAATGCACATGGGTGCACACACATGCGTGAGACACGAGTTTGTGTGTGTGCTTCCACGAGGTGTTAAATGGCTCTATTCCCACAGTCCTAGTCCCTCCAAGCCTCCCATCTCACCCTGTCCACCCCCTCCAATAGGCTCCCCCTTCTACGTCCCTCATCCCCTTCAAAACTGATGCCTATCTGGGTCCCAAGACTCCCTAATCCTGCCACCCTCCATGGCCTTGGCTCTAAGAACGTTGGGAAGGACTAGGATCAGTAGCCACCACAGACTGCCGTGTGCCCTTGGATACCTGCCTGCCCTCTCTGGGCCCATTTCTTCCTCTGAATAATGAGGGGGGCTGGAGGGACAGGGGCCTAGGCTAAAATTCCACAGGGGAGGGAGGCCCCCAGAACCAGGGGAAGCAAGGGGGTCACACCAGAGAGTATGAAGAATGGGAAACCTGCCCAAGGCCAAGGACGAGGGGCCCACTGAGAGGATGCAGGCTGCAGGGAGGGGAGGCACAGACCTGGATGTCATTGTGCGGGTTCCAGTCTGAGTCATAGATGATGACCGTGTCTGCCGTGGCGAGGTTGATGCCCAGGCCGCCCGCCCGGGTGGAGAGGAGGAAGCAGAACTGTTGCGCCCCAGGGGCTGGAGAGAGAGGCCAGGAAGGGGGATGAGTGGGGGCACACCTGGCTAGGAACAGGGATGGCAGCAGGGCGGGAGGGAGAGCGTGGGGTGAGAACCGCAGCAACAGATCCCTGACAAAGAAGCAGGACAAGGCCAGTGACCCCACCATAAAGGGGCGGCCACACCTGCCTTCGGGGGCTGGAACAGGCCCAACCTGAGCCCATTTAGCCCCCACTGGTGCTCTGAGCCCAGGCCCCATGGGAAGGAGCTAGAATGAGGAGGAAGTCAATTAAAGACAAAGTTCAAATACAGGCAGAGCTGCTGCTGAGGGTCAGCCACCATGACACCCTAAGAGCTCAGTCCTCCATGTCCCCCCGAAACCCCCCCAGCCCAGCCTGCTGATTCTGTAAGGTGACCAGGGACACAGCTCCAGGGCCTAGGGTCCTGCTCCACTGAGCAATCTGGACTGTCATTGTCAGGGGATGGCTGGTTCTCAGGCCATCAGGGCCTTTCCTTAAGTGACCAGGACTGACCACAGCTCCCATTGAAGTTGCACACAGCCACCCAGTCCCCCAATGCTTCAGTCACTCCTGCTTCCACATGCGGCCTGGGCCACATCTAGATCCTCAAACTCTGCACCCACTATGCCTCCCTTGTGTCTGTGGCACGAGTGGGCTAGAGGACCCACTGCTCTGAGCGTCCGCACACTGTGGCTCCAGCACCTTTCTTTTTTTTTTTTTTTTTTTGAGACGG